GCTGAGAACACTTCCAAACGAGGATCCAGGCAGGCAGCTACACAGGCCAGAGGCAGCAGTTATCCAATCAGGGCAGCCCTGACCTTCGAAGCAGCACACAATAAACAGATCCTTTTTCTCTGAGAACGCCAATACCAAATGCCAGATGAAATACCACAACCAAGACAAAACTGGTCCGTCACAGAATCGGCAAGCAGATCCAGGGTTGCACATGAGCAGAAACTCAAAGAAGAAATGTGTTACATAACTCACAATGCTATACCTGCTTAAGATTTACTTTTTAAAAAGATAATGTAGTTTATACTTAACAGAGAGTTAATCTATACATTATATAAGTGAGTTAAGATCACACATAACGGAGAACTATTATATAGTCACATGACCAGGACTGAAAGTGAAGAGCAAATTTTTAAAAATAACTGCATTCAAAAAGCTCAAATCAAAGAATTTCACGTGACAATTAGAAAGTACTTTCCTAAAATGTCCACTGAATTCACTTACACAGAAACACAACTAAACAGTCCAGCAGCAACGAGACCCAGGTGGAGAAGTCCTGAATGAATGGGTAATACTTTAGAGAAAGAAGTAAGAAAATAAGAACTTCGAGCTGCATGGTAGATATAAAGAAGGCCAATTGAGAATAAACGCTGGGAACAAGCAACAGTGAAGGCAGCATACGGCAGGGACTGGCACGGGCCCATGGTAGTATTCAGTGCTACCCACGCAATGCTGTAAATGGATCAGGACTGCAACATAGGGCCGCACTGCAGGACAGAGACCAGCTGTGCTTCCATACCCCACAGCACAGTGCCAGACCGAGTCCTGGCACTAGGACTCTCTTGGTCCTAGAAAGCACACATTCTTTGCTTCTGCTGAATTTCCGCGAATCACTGGAAGGGAGCAGATGACAGTCCAAGTGGCTGGCACCCTGACCCTCCTATGGTACATCAGGAAGGAGTTCCTGGCTCGTGGGCTGGACCCAACCTGGTGTTGGCTGTGGCACACGTCTGGGAAGGGAAGCAGCAATGGACATAACATTCTTCCTTCTGTCTCTCCTTCCTGTCACTCTGCCTTTTGAGTGACTGAACGAATGAATCAATTTTAAAAAGGGGAACACGATGCAGAAACTATTTGGAGCACTGAAAATATCTTAGGATGGGCTTATGCTTTTAGCAAGGCTCAACAACTCACACACATGAGATCTGTGCAGTTTATTTTATGCAAATATCCCAGTGGACTCATCAGCCCGGGAAACGCACATCTTGAGCCTCTTTTAAGAGTCTGCAAACTCCCTAAGACCGCGCGGGTCCTGGGCCTCAGCCTGCTCCCCGTCACTCCACCCTGCCGGGGTCCCATCTGATCACAGGCGTTCTTAGGCAACCATCCTAGGCCCTACACCATGGTGCACTCTCCCCCCTCTGCCTGCTGGCCCCGCGAGCACTGATGTCACAGCCACGCTTTGGCTCCCATGCGCCGTGGAGCCCGCAGCCTACACCCTCCTTCCCGCAGCAGCACAGCGGGCTCCTCCTCCGCTTGTGTGTCAGCAGACTGCCACCACAGAAGAGGCACCGGCAGCACTAACAGCTAAGCCTGCTAAGTCCAACTGGTTCAAATGCAGTCACATACAGGACAAGAGTTACAATGATTAACTCCATGTGGAGAATTTATGACACTGAACTTTCTCAAACATAAATCGGTGCTGTCCAGAGCGAACTGTCTGGAAACAGTATTGAAAACGCAGGGCTCCATGAATGTGGCTGGCCTGGCTCCCGGATGAGCGAGTGTGAATGCTGTGCGTGCTGCTGCAGTCTAGGCTGTCACAACGCGGCACTGTGCTCCTTCCTTGGGAACGCCCGTCTGAGCTCCACGCTCCACACAGGCCAGAACGAGGTATCTGATAGCAAAGCGACATCAGCCGTGAGCGCTGTGAGGAAAGTCATTGGCCTTTTCCTCTTTACACTGTTGGGTGGATGGAAAAGATGGGGTCTGTAAAATCTTTCTTCCTTAGATATTTAATTCCTACTTCTGTAGAAACGGTTGTATTAGATTTCTCTATCATTTAATAATATATTGTGGACTAAAAGGTTTAAGTGCTGTATCAAATCAGACAGTTATGTTAAGCAAGCATACTTGCCTTTATCATACCTGACATTAGCAATAGAAAGGCCTTAAAACTGACTGTTTTCAGGAAAGCATTTGAATGCATTTTGTTTGGTATTGTATTTATTCAATAAAATATTTAATTAGTGCTAAGTGTGAACTGGATCCTGTTACTAACCCAGTAATCATCTTAGGTAGGGTTAAAATCCTCAGTAAAATTGCCATATTACACATGTCTCAATGAAGTTTGAATGTTAACTGTATATTCACTTAAAAAATAAAATGCAAGGCTAGAGAATACCTAGTTTACTCTTAGAACAGGTTCAAAATTCAAACCAACTGATCCCAACTAGTAACAGTAAACTAAATAGTGAAGACTTGCCCTGTTTTTCCTGGGGGGCAAGTATTGTGGTACAGCAGGTCAAAGTGCTGCCTACAACACTGGAACCCCAGGGTGGGCTGCTGGTTCGAGTCCCGGCTGCTCTGCTTCCGAGCTACTATCTTGCTCATGCGCCTGGGAAGGTAGCAGAGGCTGGCCAAGTGTGTGGGCCCTGGCTCTGGCTGCAGCAGGAGTGGCTGCTGTGGCCAGTAGGGAATAACCAGCAGACAGGAGGTACTCTGCTGTCTCTGCCTTTCACAGAAACACAGAGAACCATAATGATAGGCCAGCCAGTGTGAGCCTGGCTGTCCGCAGAGGGGGCTCTAAGTGCTGGAGGGGCAGCACAGCACTGGGTGAGGCTCACTGAACTTGAACGCTAGCCACTCTGGCTCTCTCACCAACAAGCGGGGCGATCATATTGACTGCACCTCTCTTGGTCTCTATTTTCTCACAGAAGATCCTCCTCTCCTTCTCTCTGTATATCTGACTTGACAATAAAAATAATACATCTTAAAAAATAGATATTTATATTTTGCTATGGTAACATTAATGGCTTTAACTCTGGGATGAACCAGAATATTACATTGTGTGCATATTATACTTTTTAGAGTTAAGGTCAAATTCTGAAACACAGATGACCTTTTTTTTTTTTAAAAAAAAAGATTTACTTATTTACTTATTTTATTAGAAAGTCAGACTTTACAGAAAGGAGAGACAGAAAGAAAGATCTTCCATCCACTGATTCACTCCCTAAGTGGCTGCAATGGCCAGAGCTGAGCTGAGCTGATCCAAAGCCAGGAGCCAGGAGCTTCTTCCAGGTCTCTCACGCAGGTGCAGGGTTCAAAGGCTTTGGGCCATCCTTGACTGTTTTTCCAGGCCTTTGTCAGGCAGCTGGAAGGGAAGCGGAGCAGCTGGGACATGAACCGGTGCCCATATGGGATCCTGGCACATGCAAGGTGACTGTAGCCATTGGACTATCATGCTGGATCCCGTTCATACGTTTTGGACAAAAGATTTGGACCTGTTCTCCTTCGGGGGGGCTGTGAATACGACCTTATACATGGAAACAGGCAGGATGATGACGGGCACATAATCAACGGGACTATCAGCAGCACTGACATTCACGCTGAAAATCTGTCTCTCACTCCCTCACACAGAAAGGCGTGTAAGTAGGGCACACTATCCTGCAGGCAACCACCGGAATGTGGTGTATCTGCGACACAAAACAAGGGAAGAGCTGGTCCCTTGTGGGAGGGTTGGACGCCCAACTTCCACGCATGCTCTCACTGCCAGGACTGCTGAGGTCAGCACAGTAACCCCTGCAGAGAGTACAACTTCAAGATACCCTAACAGTTAAAAATCACTATTATATAAAACACTCTGCTTTGTCAAACACTGGTGTGCTCTAAGACCATGCCATGGAACAGCAAGGGCAAGTCCTGCCTGTTAGCATGCAGTTCCTCAGCACAGACGATGCCAGCAGATGCCAGTGGGCACGCACCTCCTGGCTCAAAGTCTAGGAACTGGATTTGGACACGACAGGCAAAGTCACCAACTTGACTTTGTGCGAATGGTACACATGCTGGCTTCTCCAGTCACATTTCCTTTTTTTTTTTTTTTTGCCATTTTATTAAAAATTTTTTTTTATTGGAAAGGCAGATTTATAGAAGGAAAGAAAGAGGGAAAGCTCTTCCATCCAGTGGTCCACTCCCTAAATAGCTGCAACAGTGGGACCTGACCGCTGTGAAGCTGGAAGCCAGGAGCTTCTCCGGGTCTCCCACGATGGCCCAAGGATTTGATCCATCATCCACTGACTTCCCAAGCCACAAGTGAAGCAACCTGGACAAGAACTGGAGCTTACATGGGATCCTGCAGTCACACTTCTTTACAAGCTCACTGAGGAAGCCTAAAACAGCTACTCAGGCTTGGACGCGAGCAGGGACTTGGTCCTCACAGACCCTGGTTTTGGAGCTGAGAAGAGCAGGGGCCATGAGCCTAAAAAGACTGTTGTATCAACTGACACAAGAGACTGCGCTGTCCTACTGACTCCTCTCTGCTCCCAAGCGACACCAGCTAGCCATGTGGACAAGGACCGCTTGCAGCAAAGCACAGTTCCCATCTCTCAGGCCAGACATACAGGGAAGGGGTGTTGGGTGTTGCGGGGAGTTTCCATGTAGCCATCTGACTGGCTAGGCTGAAGAGGGGTGCCAAGGAAGGCCAATCTGGGCCCCAGCAGGACTGCCCTATGTCCTGATAGACACATGTTTCTGTGTCAACACATGTTGATGCAAAAGCCTGAGAGATGCTCAAACTCTGAGTTCACAGGCCAACACCCAAACTACCAAAATGTACTTCTGAGAAATAATCAAGGAAAGTAAGCAATTTACAATAGCGCTTTTTGGGAACCAGATGTAAAACTCACACCATTGCTTTGGAAAAGATGAAATTCTGCAATCACTTGGAACATAGTAGATCTAACACAGCATAAAAACCGGAAGCAAGCTTCCTGTAAGACAAGTACCAGAAATCTCTCTTCCTTTTCCAGCCAGCGCTGATCTTCTTCCATTTCCTGCTGCTGTCGGATCAGCCGCTCTTCCATCAGGTGGCTCGGCAGCCCCTGGCCCATCCCTCGCAGATCCAGGGCAGAGTCCTGGGGAGAGTCCCAGAGAACGTGAGCAGGCCGTCAGTCTGTCTGCATGTTCTTACTTTGCGTGTCTTGCAAAGTGAGAACGGAGGAAACACAACCCTCCGCCCTCCGCTCGTGGGAACATTTTTGGCGCTTGCAGTTGAGACATGCGCCAAGCATCCTTAATGGATATTTAACTCCTGAGCTCACAGATTCACTTGTAGTGGTCTAATCTTAAGAAATAATTATTTATTAGAATAAAATAGGGGAAATCAGTGGGAAATCTCAGAGTTTCTGGAACTGTATCATAAAATAAATTGAAAATAAAAAGCGAAGGGCCCAGCGTGGTAGCCTAGTGGCTAAAGTCCTCGCCTTGAATGCACTGGGATCCCATATGGCACCAGTTCCAATCCAGGCAGCCCTGCTTCCCATTCAGCTCCCTGCTTGTGGCCTGAGAAAGCAGTGGATGGCCCAAAGTCTTGGGACCCTGCACCTGCGTGGGACACCTGAAAGTGGCTCTGTGCTCCTGGCTTTGGATCAGCTCAGCTCCAGCCGTTGCAGCCACTTGGGGAGTGAACAATCAGACGAAGATCTTCCTCTCTGTCTCCCCTTTTCTCTGTATATCTGACTTTACAATAAAAATACATAAATCTTAAAAAAAAAAGTCTCATTAGTTACAGTGAAAATAGAAATACTATGCAGGTAAATAGAAAGTTTCAATATAATCTTAACTCACACCTTACTGGCCAGCGGAACACGTGCTGCTCAATGCAAAGATCTGTTTCATTTACTTGGAAGTGTGAGAGCAAGGGGGCGGGGGGTGAGACCCCACAGCTACCTGCCAACTGTTGGCTCCCTCTCTGAACGGCTCAGAGCCCAGCCAGGAAGCCCTTCAGTCATCGCCCGCTGCTCCCTGGAGGCCATTAGCAGGCTGCTGGCCCTGTGGCAGAGCAGCCAGGCTTGAACCAGCTACTCCAACACGGAAAGCAGGCACCCTAGATGATGGCTTAATGTGCTGTGCCACAATGCCCAACCCAAGCAAATAACTTTGAATACTCTGCGAGTGGCTCCTGGTTTAATCAGCAAAATTTGGTAGAAATTAATACGGTCGACTGTAATTCCTTTGTTCTTGCCAGCCCCCCATCCCTCTGGCCTCGCATATACACTAATTATATGCACTTTAGAGGTCTGCATTTTGGGTATTTCTTTGAGAAAATTACTTTTTCTTTGTCTCTCCTCTCTATATCTGCCTTTCCAATGAAAGTAAATCTTAAAAAAAAAAAAGACAATTATAATTCATAGGAGTGGGTATTTGGCTTAGCAATTTAGATGCTGTATGGTATACTGGCATGCCACATTGGTACTCACTTCATGGCCCACTCTGTTCCCCGCGTCAGCTTCCCACTAATGAGTACACGGGAGCGTCCAGCCCATGGCCCACGTGAGACCTGTTGAGTCACTCGAGTTGCCAAAGCAACTGCGGGCAGGACTCAAACTTCAATACATCTACAGCAGGCAATGTTTTAAGTTGATAATTTTGTTTGGCTCACGAATTTGAGTATGAATTATCTTGATTTAGAACTCACTCATCAAAATAAGAAATCTGGGGCAGTCTCCACGTGTGGCATCAGCATCCTACATGGGCACCGGTGTGTGTCCCGGCTGTTCCACTTCTAACCCTCTGCTTACAGCCTAGGAAAGCCTCTTCAGCTCCTGCACTCATGTGGGAGACCTGGAAGAAACTCCAGGCTCCCAGCTTCAGACTGGCTCAGCTCTGGCCACTGTGGCCATTTGGGGAATGACCCAGAGGATGAAAGATCTCTCCTCTCTGTAACACTCCAAATAAAAATAAAGTTTCAAATAAAAATAAATTTTACAAAACTCAAACAATTTTTGGATTTAGAAATACTAGGTCCCTTGAAGCGCACTCAGAAAGCAGCTCAGGAATACTCATGTACCTCCAGGCTGGGCTGCCACACGGCTATCTCCTGAGGTCTATGATTCCAGCACTCTGACTGGTCCAAAAGAGACGCCTGACCTGGGTAGATGCTGCTGGCCATGGCTGTGATCCCATGTGAGCCAGGGTAGCCCGAGACCTGCAGGTGAACGGAGAGAGGCAGTCAGGCTTTGCCGTCACACCTCTGCTACAGTTCTGCCCTGCCGTATCAGACAGCAACCAGCAACACTGGGTATGCTGTGGTAGCTGGCAGAATAGGCCAACCAGAGGCCAGGGCCCCATCTCTTAAGCAGAATGCCTCCTTATGTGCCAGACATGACTTCAAGTCACAGATCCTCAGAGGGAGAAACCATCCCGAGCAGTGCAGGACGGAAGCGCAAGTGGGGAGGAAGGGATATGTGACCGGAGCCTGCTGGCTCGGAACATGTAAAGGGGGACCATGAGCAAAGGGATGCATGTGGTCAGGAGAGGCCAGTGAGGCAAGGAATGGGACTGTCCATGGAGGCCTCCAGAAACGTTATTTATAACAGCCGCAATAGACAATGAAAGCAGAAATAAAACTAGCAAATAAGCAAGCAGGTGTTTAGGACCTGTACACCGACCAAATGCTGTGAACAGACCATCCTGCACGCCAAGTGACAGGAAGCCACAGAACTGGATGGGCCAAATGCTGCTCCAGGATGGATCTTTCATGCCCAATAACAACAAATCACATAGACATACAAACGCAGAGTGTGTCCCTAACGAGCCGGAGGCTGGGCAGAGGGGGAAGTTCAGCCATGGGGTCTGACGGTGATGAACAAGGAAGGGAGAAAAACTTCTAGGCACACACAGGACACAGTGCGAACTTGCTTCCGCAGTCAACAAGCCAGCACAGCGCAGCAAAGGGCCATTAGCGGAGTTTCACTCAAAGACAAAAAACAGCCAAATTCCTGTTTCCAAATATAAGCATATCTTTCAACCAAAGTTTTGCATATCTACTAGGAGCTTGGGGGCTTCAAGGAACAAGCAGTACTGCACAGGGTACTGTGGTCTGGGGTACGCTGGAGCAGACAGGTGTCAAGACTAAGATCTGTGCACCTCACTGCAGGTAAATTGCACCTCAGTTATTTTAATCTTTTGCTGGGGTCCGTGCAGTAGGTATGGATGACACGAAGGTGTGAAGAGAACAGCTCCCTGCTTGGCAGGGCCTGGGGAGCTTCCAGCTGTTTGGCAGGGCCCGGCGATTTCTCTCTGACCACCTTGACGCAGTCTCACCCCCTGTTTGCATGGACACTCAAGCACCCCACTAAGAATTCTGTAATCTATTGAGGCATTGTTTGCCCCTGTGAGATGGCTTTGGCAACTACTGTGAGCTTAAGAGTTAATGTTATTGATAATGTCTTAGTGAGTGGGCCTTTAACTGCGCACAGGAGTACAATTAAACCCATGCCATTTCTGGACACCTTATTGTGTGCCTACCCATTGCCCTGAAATCAGGCCCAGACATATAGCATGCCTTCTGGGAAATGGCTTAACAAGAATTTTACAAACTAATGGAAGTGATGGGAATATGAGCTGAAACTGCTATGGCAAAAATATAGTTGCTGTGACCTTAAAGGTTAACCTGTCCTTGCAACTCTTTAGAGCATAGAAAATGTAGCTGCTTTAGCCGCTTTCATAATCTTTTAACTAGAGGAAATATAGGATGATTCTATTAACATCACAGAGATATACTTTTGATTATTGTTTGATTGCTTATGAGGCTGTAGAGCCTGCAGTCGTAGGGGGATTTAATGTTTGAAACTTTTTGTCTTAGATCCTTATATTTTTTCTCTTTTGATGTATTTCTCCCATTATGTGATAGATAAAGTTGTGAAAATAAAATGTAGTAGGAATGTTTTACTGATTAGTAGGTAACCATCTGTGCCTTGGCCTTGGAGTTCTGGCTGTCACCTAGTGGCCACTTCTGAAGAATGAATAACGGCTTGCTTTAAAGAAACTGATTATAGTAACTTACAGAATTATCTTTAAGAGCACCTGGTTGACCATGAAGTAAAAATTAATTGAACATCTGTGCATGCTGTCTTAGTTCTAAAGTAAAAGATAAAAAATCAAACGTTTGTGCAGAAGTTTGTGATGTGTCTAAGAAAATAAAAAGAACAGCTTCTTCTTGAAAAAGTAAGCAAGCAAGCAAGCAAGAAGCAAGGAAGCAGCAAAAACGCAACAAGTGTCTGTGTCTTTCTTTATCGCCGACTCCACGCACCCTTCCCGAGCTCCGAACTCAGCTGGAGCTGGACTCCGGCAATCTTTATTTAATACTAATTTTAACACCTATCTCACTCACCTCGCATTTCATCAGGGAAGGTTGCAGAGAATGGGTCCAAGGCCTGCAGGCCACCTGACTCTGGTGCTGCCTGCCGCAGTGAGAGTGTGTACTCACGGGGAGGAGTGAGAGTGTGCTCAGGGGGAGGAGTGAGAGTGTGTGCTCACGGGGAGGAGTGAGAGTGTGTGCTCACGGGGAGGAGTGAGAGTGTGTGCTCACGGGGAGGAGTGAGAGTGTGTGCTCATGGGGAGGAGTGAGAGTGTGCTCAGGGGGAGGAGTGAGTGTGTGCTCACGGGGAGGAGTGAGAGTGTGTGCTCACGGGGAGAAGTGAGAGTGTGCTCACGGGGAGGAGTGAGAGTGTGTGCTCATGGGGAGGAGTGAGAGTGTGCTCAGGGGGAGGAGTGAGTGTGTGCTCACGGGGAGGAGTGAGAGTGTGCTCAGGGGGAGGAGTGAGAGTGTGTGCTCACGGGGAGGAGTGAGAGTGTGTGCTCATGGGGAGGAGTGAGAGTGTGTGCTCATGGGGAGGAGTGAGAGTGTATGCTCAGGGGGAGGAGTGAGTGTGTGCTCATGGGGAGGAGTGAGTGTGTGCTCACGGGGAGGAATGAGAGTGTGTGCTCACGGGGAGGAGTGAGAGTGTGTGCTCAGGGGGAGTGAGAGTGTGTGCTCACGGGGAGGAGTGAGAGTGTGCTCACGGGGAGGAGTGAGAGTGTGTGCTCATGGGGAGGAGTGAGAGTGTGTGCTCACGGGGAGGAGTGAGTGTGTGCTCACGGGGAGGAGTGAGTGTGTGCTCACGGGGAGGAGAGAGTGTGCTCAGGGGGAGGAGTGAGTGTGTGCTGGGGGAGGGGAGTGAGAGTGCTCTCCGTGAGGAGTGTTGAGACAACAGGCATGTAAGTCATGCCCTGGGGGACTATTCCTTGGCTTTCTGCTCAGCAGTAATAGTCACAAACACAGACACAAACCATAAAAGCACACACTATTTTCCTACCCCTCAAGTGCCAAGTAATCAAAGTAATACACTGTATATTTGTAGTCACAGATACCTGGTAATGATTGGTCTGGACCATGTGCTGTGGGCTGGGGTAAAATCCTTCACTGGATCTCGGGCTAGGATAACCAGGTCTGCTGGGCTGTGAACAGAGAACAGCACTGAGATGAGTACGGGTCCAGGCTGTGCAAAGCACACACAACTCCTACATCAGAGCTTGGTGAGATGAACTGTTGGGTAAACAAATGTTTACAACTGTGATGTTAGATGATTAGATATTTACATATGAAATAGAAAATCTGACTTCTCTTGCACAATGAGATTAACTCAAATTGCACCACAGACCCAAAGTAAGAGTCCTAAAAGGTATTTATAGGAAAATCTTTTAACTTGCATAAGGCAACAATTTCTAGGCTTTGACACAGAAACACAACTTCTAAAAGGAAAAAAGATAAACTGAACATCACTAAATTGAAAAAGTTTTTGTGTCACAATGACCTCACCAAGAAAGAGGAAAAAGACAAGCTAAAGGACAAGAGAATGGGCCTGCAATGCCGGTATTCTGTGAATGCAGCTTCAACTGCCGGCTTCTCTATTTGCGATCCAGCTTCAGCCACTGCGGTCATTTGGGGGGTGAACCAGCAGGTGAAAAATCTGTGTCTCTTATTTTCTCCTTCCTAATGTAATGCTCCCTTTGAAATAAACCAAAATATGAAAGAAGTAAAGACAATCGAGCCATTCTTCCGGTTACGGGTCCACATCAAGAAGTACAGTGGACAAAGAACATGAGCTGACCCAGCTCCTGGAAGCACACAAGCAGCCACTTATGGCCAGGAGCCACAGGGACACACAGCTCAAACTCCGTACACACCACCACCTTCTAGTTACTGGGAGGGCTGGGCAGTACAGACAGACAGGTGAGGCAAGGACCCGGAAGAAGTATAATCCTGTAGGAATGCCAGCAGTGCCACTGTTGTTGCATGCTGTTTGGTAATTCCTCACAGAACTGAACAAGAATTATCACAGGATCCAGCAATTCCACTTTCTAGCACCTCCAATCAGAAATTGAAGTATATGTCCAAGCACAAACACATTTTTAAATGTTTCTGGCAGAGCTGTTCCTAACAGCTAAAACCCGGACACAATCCAAGTGTCTGGAAATAAGGCATCAACAACATGGAGTCTACCCATAAATGCAATCTTGTTTGGTAATTGAATAGAAAGAAGTACTGACATTAGGCACAACATGGATGAATTTTTGAACTGTGCTAAGTGAAAGCAGCAAGTCACGAAGAGTCCCATTTATGGGCTCTGTTGGTCAGAGAGATGTCCCAGACACGGCATCCAGGCCAAGCGATGCTTCTGGCTGTGTTGTCCCAGGCAACGACTAAACTGCTCTCTATTAATCCACAGGGCGGGAGTGGAGCTAGACCTTCCAGTGCTAAAGTCACTTTCAGCTCTAAAACTCTCATTTTGTTTGTAAGAGAAATAAATTCAGAGTTCATAGAAGAACGACTTGGTCTCAAACAGAAGGCTAAAAGTAGATAAGACTATAAAATCCTTTGAAACTTGAGGAACCCAGTGACGTGGAAATACATTATTGTCCAGTCAAACGAAGACACACACACACACACACACACACACACACACACACACACACACACACAATGGGCTCGAATTTTACTCGCCAGCATCTGGTGCTGCCCAGGGCTCTACTCTGGGCAGTTTGGAATGAGCCAGCTCTCTGAAACTAGTCCCAATCCCACAGCTTTCTCATGCCACGCCCACCTCAGTCTACTAACCTGGGCAGAATCCTGGGCACTCTGCTCCCGCTGGCAGCTTTCCCAGCCCCCACTGCACCACAGCTGCTTTCACACTGGCTTTGGCTTTGTTATTGCGAGGGAGTCCTTAGACTCCTCTGAATATAAACAGCTTCCCTCAGCCTTGCCATACAATTTAAAAAAAAATTTTTTTATTGTTATGATTTTCCATGATAAAGTTTTGCAGGTATAGGGATTCCCCCTTCCCCTTCCCATTTCACTCCAACATTTCCCCCATATTACAATGGAATCAACAGTAGTCACATTTAGTGAATCATGGCACTTTAGGCACACACAATGGTAGAAATTCTAATATTTTATTGTAAGGTATGTTTAAGTTTCACTGGGAGTATAAATGCATACTGTAACATACCTGCACTTTCTGATATGCTAGATATAGCATATAGTTCACTTATGACATTATATGTGCGTACTTGTCCACTTATGTTTCTAATTGTTTTGTATTTCACATGAAGGTTGCCTTATATTAGAGACAACATGGTATTTGTCTTGCCACATTTTAGCCAGGGCTGCAGTTGTAGCTGACTTTAATGTCAACTAAATATGAGCATTGATTTTCTGAAACTGTAACACAGCAAAGGACTCCTGTGTGTGAAGACAGGAATTTCCTAGGTAGGTTCCAGCAAGCTCATGGGACTACTCTGCCAGTTCGCAGGCTCACAGCTGGGGCCTGGTCAGGGGGAAGCCAGGAGCCTGAAGTCCATGAGTCTCCCACATAGATAATGGGGCCTAGGCACTTGCTGCTGCTTTCCTTGGCATATGAGCAAGAAGCAAGATGGGAAGTGGAGCAGCCAGAACTCAAATTGCGACTCCATGGGAGACGAAAATTGTAGCTAAGAGCTGAACTTAATACTACTGTGTTTCAGTGCTGGCCCCAAATTTACGTTTTTATAAAGCTATTGTCTGACTGGCCTGGCACAATGATTCAATGGCTAAATCCACACCTTGTACATGTCAGCATCCCAGATGAGCACTGATTTATCTTCTGGCTGCAGCACCTCCCATTTAGCTCCCTGCTTATGGCCCGGGAAAACAATACAGAATGGTTCAAGTCCTTGAGACATGCACCTGTGTAGGAGATCCAGAAGAAGCTCCTGGCTCCTGGCTTCAGAAGGGTTCAGTTCGGGCCATTGCAGATATTTGAAAAGCAAACCAGTGGATGGAAGATCTTTCTCTCTCTCTGTAAATCTGATTTTCCCATAAAAATCTTTAAAAAATTAAAAATGATTTTGTCTGAAAAGTGGTTGATGATTCGAAAGGTTAAAAACAATACAATGTGACTACCTAAAAACACTCCATCGACAGAACTGCGTTGCTTCAAAGGCGATGTTAACAAAGCAGTATTACTAACGACCGCACAGTGGTCTGCACAGAAGCCCAGTGGGCTCAACTGAGCCTGCAATGCTGACATTCCGCACCGCGGGGAAGTGCTGCTCTGTGCTCTGGCCGCTCTACTTCTGATCCAGCATCTTGCTAATGTGGCTGGGAAGACAGTGGGAATGGCTCAAATTTCAGGAAAGAGTCCTTACCACCTGGTTTTAGCCTAGCCTAATTTCTTTAACATATAAATACTATATTACAATCTTACATAGTTAAATAGGGTTGTACAAAGGGTCAAGGGCTACAAGAAAGTGGGCAAGACCATTGTTTCCACACTAATACCGTGTCCACCCCCCGCCCCCGCCGCCCTCCGGTATCTGGGATCAGGGCAGAAACAAAAGGAAAAGCCCCACCCAGCCTCCCACCCATCCCAGGTCCCTGACATGGGACATGCTCCGAGGGTCCTGCTCAAGCAGTTTTGATAGTTCAACAGTTCTGAATTGCTGCCAATCTCGCCATTCCAATCACAACAAAATCTATTCAGAATCCACAGGCTGACACAGTCTCTTCATGGTTGGGGTTCTGAGACCAGCAGTTCAGTTGGAGGGATCTCCAAGGAAACTTCATCTGAGGATCCCAGACCTGATTCTTGTGTGAGTTTGCCAGTACAGGATCGGCACAGTCCATCGTCCCAATCAGCTCATGCACATGCTGGTCGTTGCAATTGCTGCGTCAGTTCCGTTTCCAGCCTGGTCTTCGACATGAACCAATGGTTGTTGCAGTCCAGCCCGATCCTGCCCACTTCATTCTCGGTCCTCACGCTAACCAGTGGGAGCTGCAGCCTAGTCGAGGCGACTCCCCATCACCCCCACCAGGCCTGCCCCCTACCTTGGTTCCTGTGCTTGCCAGTATGTACCGCCGACTTGTTCAGTCTGCCCTGCATCCCATTTGGCTCTCGTACATGTCAATGGGCTTTGAAGCCTAGTTCAACCCAACCCACACACATACTGGTGGGTGCCTTTCTGTCTAGCCACCCCTGCCCCTGTCCTGGTTTTTATGCTCTCCAGTGGGAGTGGTAACCCAAGAGGGAGGTGCCCACTATTTTCTTCCTGGGCCACTCCCACTCCCAGATTGTGCAGTCTCCAGTTGGTTCTGTGGTTTAACTTGACAGATTAAGCCCCCAGTGCCAGCCTCTGGCAACTGATGCTGAGGCAAAGCCCAACCAACCTTCACCCACCCTGATTTTTGCCTGCACCAGTTGGAACAGTCAGCCCAGCCTGGCTTTTCCCTAATCCAGCTCACATGAGGCCCACAGGTTTTGTAGCCCTGCCTGGTCTTGTCTGCCCCCATCCCAACTCATGCTCTCCAGTGGGAGTGGCTGTCCAGCAGGGGAGCCCACATTCCCCCTACCAGCTTTGCCCCCTCCCTTCCTGGTTCTCATGTGTGCTGTTTGGGTGCTGTGGCCACATCTGGTACGGCCCACCTCACCTGGCCAACCTACACTCTGTTCTGGTGCTTGGATCCGCAAGAAGGTGATGTGAACTGGTTCAGCCTGGTCTGTCTCCAGCCTATGCCAAATGGACGCTTGTGAGTCTCTTTCTCTGGGCTGGTTGGGTTGCTCCCTATCGTCGTTCTTGCACTCATTTGCAGGAACTGCATCTTTAAAGTACAGTTTCCAAAGCTCCGCCATCAAACCTCTTCCTATGCCAGGCTTTGGGCATACTGGTGGGTCCATGGACCAGCCCTACTTAGTCCACCTCCTGTTCTAGCAGGAACAGTGGCCTTTCCTCACTGGCCTTCAACCCATTCCCATTCTTACTGTTGGATGTTTCAGCCCAGCCAAGGCTTGTCCATACCCAGACACTGCTCACACATGGCTCAGTAGGGGCAGAGACCTAGCCTAGTCCATCCTACATCTACCCTGGTCCTCCAGAGCACCAGATGGTGCTGGCGTCTAGCTTGGCTAGGTAGACCCAGCCCT